CACCCACCCCTCTACATCAGACATGGCAAACATGGCCCTCATGGCATGGCTGCCAATCATGGTCCAGGCCCTGCTCTCGGGCGGCGACCCCACCACCATCGCCCAGGCGCCCCGCCCGCCCGCCGGCGGCGGGGGCGACCACGCAGCCGCCGGCGGCGCGGACGCGGACGCGGGCGCCGCGGCGGTGCTGCTTTCAGGGATCCCTTTTGCCTGCGCTGCGGCCGCCTCGACGTTCGTCGGCGCCGCGATGCAGCGGACGGGGCGGCCGCTGCACTACCTGTCCGGGCTCAATCTGGCTGGCGGCGCTGCATTCGTCGCGTTCCACCGCGCGGTCCGCGCCAGCCGCGCGGCCGGCTTCGCCTGCCTCGTGGCCACCCTCAGCTGCGCCTACGCGGGCGCGCCGGCCGCGCCCTGGATCGTGGCGCGGCTGACCGCCGGGCCCGGCGGCGGCGCCGCGGTCGCGCTGCCGCTGTTCAATTCGTTGGCAATGCTCGGCGGCTTCCTGGGGCCGGCCGCGCTGGGGGCGCTCGCGGAGAAGCTGCGCGGCGACTTCGGGGCGGCGACGGCGCTGCTCGGCTGCAGCATGCTGGTCGCGGGCGCGCTGGCGGGGGCGCTGGGGTGGGCGATGGCGCGGGACCCGGAAACGCGGCAGATTGTTGCGGCAAAAGTCGGGGGCGGGGCCGGCGGCAGGTATGAGGCCGTGGCCTCGAAGGAGGCAGACCCAGAGGCGGCGAGCCCCTGATCTCTGTACATCATATGCACCTTACGCATTGACTAGAGACACCATCCGCCTGGCTGCGCTGGTGGGGTCCTGTTCGCCGGGCCTGAGCCTCATATCCGCCTCGTCGTCCCCCATAGCCCGCGCTGTTGCGTGCTGATTGCCAGCTCCAACTGTTGCAGAGGCGTCCACCGCGCGGCGTAGCGTGCTGCGCGGCCCGCACGACATGGTGTGAGAGACCAGCTTCTCGGGATTAAACCCCCGCACTACTACCCCCATACCCCCCTGTCTGGTGGAGTGGCCCATCTCTTTCGCCCTGTTTGCACAATCCAACACCGCGCGTCCCCGTTACGGCTGGGAGGCCCCTCACAGATTAGACAATTTGCTGTCTGTTGCTGGTGAGGTGCACTGGGCCCCCAGCAGCAGTCGCCTCCCCAGAGCTCCCCAATCAGTGCTCAAGCACACGAGATTCGGTGCCTCATCCTGTGGTCTGAGTCAGCTTCACCACGGATTCCGCCTGTGCTGCTGCCGCACCCTGCAACCGAGGGGCCGACACGGGCTGCTGTTCGCGCCCGCCCTCCTCCTGCACGCGGCCTTGCTCTGCAATGCTTGGACGCACGTGAGGGCTCGGCAGCACGTGAGGGCTCGGGTGCGTCGCCAGCAGCCGTCCGCGACAGGCGTCTCTGTCCCCTCTTCGCCCTGCCAGCTTTCCCCCATGCTTCACCCGCAAGCCGCTGAGTCACCACACCTCCCTCACCCAGCACTCATTCAGTTTGGTGCGTGGACCGGTTCCAAGCGACCCAATTGTTACCCACACACAGCTACAACATACGGAATAGCTCTACATGTGTTACAAAGCCCGAATGCCGATCGTTTGGGCAAACCGATTGTGCATTTGGGTTCAAGCCAGAATTGCTGCGAGCAGCTTCCTGATTGTGGCCCGGTGAAGCCGACCTCTGCGGCTGCGCAACACGGCCTCCCCGCCCAGCAGCGGAGGTCGCGCCAGCCGCCCCCGGCGGTGACATGCGTGCTCCAGCAGCAGTTGCGTGAAGTCGCCGCCCATGTGACGCGGTAACCTTTGCAGTGGGCGTCCGGCCAGGCGCTGCGTGCCGGGTCACCCCCAGGCGGGGGTCAGGGCGTAGCTCACGTGCAGCCGCCCGTCTATGCCGTACGCCTGTGGTTGACAATCGTTCGGGGCGGCGTGGCGCGGTTCGGGCGGCGCGGCGTGGGCGGTCGGTGTCCAGACCCGGGTGCTAAGGGGGGGCTCTGAACGCCTGCACTCGCCGCTTGGGGCAGCCCGACAAGGCACGCCGCAGCAGACCGCGTGATCCACATCAACAGCCACACCGCCGCCAGTATCTTGTGCTTTCGTGTGAACTGGAGTGGCGTCAATGCAACATGGCAGCTGCTCAGCGGGTGTGGGCTGACTAAGGGGTGACTCATCGCGCGTCACCTGGGTGAGCAGCGCCACCTCGTCGTCCAGGGAGGGGCAGAAGGCCTCCCGCAAGTACACAAACTTGGATATCATGATATTGATTAACATAAAGGTGGGAGGACGGAGCGCCGCAGAAGAGGGTTGCACACCACACACGGATGAGGCCGGCTGGAGGGGCGAGAGCGGGACGTGCCGGCGCTCTCCGTGGGAGCGACGCGTCGGGACGCTCCCCACATTGTGCGCGCCCCCTGAGGCCGAGGACTCAGCACGGGGCCGGCGGTCGCCGAGCCAGACCGCCGCTCCGGTGCC